AGTTTGAGATCATTTTGGTCCTTCATAGATAGTCAGGTGACCATTTTAATTATTTTCTCATTTTTATTTTGACTAATATAGGCTATATAGTTTTCAACATACACAAAAGATGTAATTCTTTACAGTATGAATATGTCGAATTTGTTGTTTTAGTTTCTAATTAAGAGCTACTCAAAGCAACCTAAAAAAACCAATAAAAACCACCTTTTCAGAAATCCAAACAACCCTAAATCCTAAAAACAATCAAAGTGTACCAAACTTACCCCTGAAACCGTATCAACCAAACCCTTGCTTAGAAGGACGCGGGAGAGCCAAGCATAGAACAACGAAAATGGGAATCCAAGAACCAGAATGTAATAGAAAGGGTGATGAACAAATTCCATGGCCAAACCGCCAAGGCGTCGACCAGCAGTTCCGGGAGGAAAAAAGGAAGCCATCCATTCGGCAAAGGAACAGAGATCTGGGCCGATAAAGGCGTTCAAAGCGTAGAAGAGGCAGTGCTGAGGAGTGAAGCGGCCATGGCTGAAGCGCATGAGGCCAGTTCCGGAGCCGAGCGCGTACATCATCTGTGGTCCAGGACCCGGCATCTTCGCCGGTGAACTGGTAGGATCTTGTTGCCGGAGAACTGGAGTAAATTTTACTGGTTTCTACTGAAAAATATAGTCAATTTTGCTGGAAGTTGAAAGCGGGGAGGGATATCTGGGCCAGAAAGAAAGACAAAAAATAAATATTCTCCCAATATGGAGGCCTAAAATCATGTTATTTGTATTTATATGTATAAATAAATCAGATAAGAATTAACTTCTCAATTTTTTTGGGGGCAAGGAGAATGCTATAACGGTGATTAGACAATTGGCTCCCCATCTCAATTTTGGAGGAGGAATGTTAAAATAATTAAAAATGTTATTCAAAATGCAATGAAATTATTCATAAGGGCATGATTTTTTATAAAGATGAAAATAAATTTATTATAAAAAATATTTTTAATGGATATTAGAAATATTACAAATATTTTTATAGCTCCCATATACTAATAAATCTTGTTGCAAAAAATAACTTCTTATTAATTTTTTTTTTTAAAAAGTAATAAGATAGCAACAAAAATAATAATAATCAAATAGAAATACAATTGCAATATGAAAAACAAAACAGCTGGAAAGATGACTCAGACGAATCTTAAGTTGTTAGGATGTGAATCCTTCGTAATTATTGTCTTAATTAGCTATTGTAGTTTATTCATCTAATTCATTTTAATTTTTTTGAAGTCATTTAAATTTAGATAAATAAATTAAATTGATTTGTCCAAAATGATTCAAATAGTTGGGATACAATAATTGTAACCCTAAAGTTCTCTATGGTACTAAATAATATCAATTTGATT